ATTGAGGTATACAAAATTGTGAGGCGTGGAGATCGAGCAGACAGGAGGAACTGTTTTCCCTTGGCAGAGAGATCAAAAAACCAGGGGTCATAGATTCAAGCTTAAGTGACAGACAGATTACAGCGGATATGAGGAAAAGCCTTTTAGAGGGTGGTAGGTGTCTGGAACTCAGTACCCGAGTTGGTGGTGGAGGCAGAGTCTGCAAACTCTTTTTGAAAGTACCTGAATTTAGACATTAAGTGCTGTAAGCTGCAGGACTATGGGCCATTTGCAAGAATTTGGGATTAGAAATGGCATCTGGGTGTCTTTGAGTCAACATGGACAAGATGGGCCAAATGGCCCACTTCTGTCCTGTATTATTTCTATGGTTCCTCAGAAATACCCAATGCCATCTCTCCCTGAACGTCCTCTCAAACTTCAAGTAGTAAAATCCAATTGGAAAAATTCATAACAACAAACAGAGGGTTCAGTAACTAAGTAACAGTTAAGATAATACTCTGAAAAAAATACTCTGCAGGGTTTTAATGTTTTTCCCAGGCTTGAAGAGGGTTGTGTACATGATATTTTTCAAGAAGGGTTATGAATATCAATAAATAAAAAACACATTCACCCATCTTGAACCTACTAATTTGTATCTTTGCTTAACTAAGTTTCTTTCTGCAACAACCATTTCTTTGTTGACTTAAAGAACCTGTCTGACTTGTTTTTAATCACCTCCCATTTATGTTCAAACATTAGTCCTATTCTGCTCCCCACCGCCCCCACACAACTGTATCTCCAATATAATCGATGATATCATCAGGGCTGCTTCCCTCTCTCGTCTGGAATTGGAAACGTTTTATCAATTTTGCTTCCAATTTCCACCAACCTCACTTTAACCTGGTCCATCCCAGACTCCTCCATTCCCTTCCTCAACATCTGTTTCCATTTCTGTGGATAGACTGGCCACCACTATCCACCATAAGCCCACTAACTCCCACAGTTACCTTGAGATACATCCTCACACACTGCTTCCTGTAAAGACTATTCCATTCTCCCAGTTCCTTTGTCTGTTGCATCTGTTCCAATGATGCCAACTTCGACAAGGGAGCCTCTGAAATGTCCACCTTCTTCCTCAACCAAGGGTTCCCCAGCAGCATTGCTAACAGGGCCCTCAACCTGATCTGACCCATCTCCCGCACTTTGACCCTCACCCCTCTTCCTTCCTACAGCACGATAGGGTTCTCCTTGACCTTACCTACCATCCCACCAGCATTCACATCCAGAGGACCATTAGCCACCATTTCTGCCACTTCCAGCGAAACGTCATCACCTGACACATATTATCCTCCTCTCCCTGGTCAGCCTTTTCCAGGGACCGTTCCATCCAGGACACTCTAATCCACTCTTCCTTCATTCCCAACACCCCTTATGGCAACTTCCCCTGCAACCACAGAAGGTGTAACACCTGCCCATTTACCTCCTCCCTCCTCAGTATCCAAGGGCCCAAACATACCTTACAGGTGAAGCAGCACTTAGCTGCACTTCACACAATCTAGCCTACTGCATTCACTGTTCACAATGTGGTCTCCTCTACATTGGGGAAATGAGCATAGACTGAATAACCACTTCACCGAACACCTACATTTTGCCCACAAAAAAAGACCCTGAGCTTCCAGTTACCTGCTACTCCAACACACCATCCTGCTCCCTGGCCAATTTATCTGTCTCAGGCTTGCTGCAGTGCTCCAGTGAAGCTCAGTGCAAGCTGGAAAAACATCTCATTTTCCATTTCGGGACCCTGCAGCCTTCTGGATTCAATATTGAGTTCAATAGCTTCAGGGCTCGAACTTTCCCGTGTCCTAGCCCCTACTCCCACTCACCAGGCCTTTTTATCACATTGTCTGCTATTACTTACCACCCATTATTAGCCACTAACAGTCTCCATTAATAGCTCTTCACCCTCCTAGCCAGATCGTTATCCACTCCTTTGTACAACTGTTCCTCTTTCTCTTTGGGCTCTGTCACCACCTATCATTTCCTCCTTACCCCTTCCCCCCACCCTCTCTTCTGCATATAAACTGACATTTTCAGAGCTATCATTAGTTCTGAGGAAGGGTCATTGGACCCGAAACATTAACTCTGATTTTTCTCCACAGGTGCTGCCAGGCCTGAGCTTTTGTGGCAATTTCTGTTTTTGTTTCTGATTTACAGCATCTGCAGGTCTTTCAGTTTTGAAATTCAAACTCTGTTGTGGTCAGTGACGAACAATAAGAATCGATGATCAAAAGTAAACTGATTAAGACAGCAATCAGCCAGATCAGACTATCCTTGCTTTCAGCATGGAAATGCATCATGGTCAGCACAGACATGGTGTGCTGAAGGGCTTCTTCCTGTGCTGTATTGCTCTAGATACTACGCACAGTTCAGGTTGTTGACTTGCTTGCTGAGCTGGCTTGTTGTCGTTCAGACGTTTTGTCACCATGCTAGGTAACGTCATCGACGAGGCCTCCTATGAAGTGATGTTGTTCTACTCCTCTTGGAATTTATACTATCTGGTCTGTTACATTGAGTAGTGTCATTTCTGGTTTTGTTCTGCATGGCTTTCTATAGGAGGTCCAATTCTGTATGTTTGTTGATTGCATTTTGGGTAGAGAACCATGCCTCGGGCGTGTCTATGTTTGGCTTGGGCTAGTATGGTTACATTGTCCAAGTTAAAAAGCGAACAGTTAACTGTTGATCTTGATTCTCAAGCTAAATTCTAATTAGTCAGTGTGTTGCCATGGGAATACAAAGATTTCCAGTCTCCATGACCCCTTTATGTTATTGTCACAGATGCAATGTATGTACAAAACCATGTTTATAACATAAAGTCCTGTGTATCAATATACATAGCTTTTAGCACATGCAATCCGTCACACTATAACCCTGGCTGCCAATCTTACCATGGCTTTCAATGAAACTCATAGCAGAGTTAGGATTATTTAATAAATGCTTTCCAATAGCAAAATCACATCTAATGGTGGGTATACATGTCTGAGGATTGCAAGCACAGGTTAGTTGAGAACAATCAGCATGTTTCCCATTGCATATGGTCAACAGAGCGTGTTGTTTGATATGGTCTGTCAGTTATTAAAACATAGTTTACAAACCAATACACCAGCACTGCAAATTCACACCACATTATTCATTAGTGTGGTTGGGAAAACATCTTTTTAGGATGTTGCCATCAAACTATGACTAGGGCAATTACTCGATAATAGTAGTGTGAAACCGCTAGCTTCACCTGTTGTTCACAATGTTTTGCAACCCCTTCCCATTCTAAGGTAATGAAATAGACTGGACCCCTCTCCAGGGCAAAAGTGCTCGGCACAAGCCCTTTCATGAGTGTTTGTCCACCACTTTTGGCCCTGAGAGGTGTCCAGTCTATTTCATTACCTTAGAAGGGGAAGGGGTTGCAAAATATTGTGAACAACAGGTGAAGCTAGCGGTTTCACACTACTATTATCCAGTAATTGTCCGAGTCAGGATAGCTTTGATATGCCCTATTTCAGTGTCAAGCTTACATGATGAGCAGATATCTAGGACCCTATTCATGAGTTTGCCAAGAAGATAATCTTGTAGTGTGGGATTGTAGGTTTCCAATGCATATTGGCCAACGAACATCAGCTTTCAGTAGACGGTTAACAAGACTAGCTGACTTCTCAATAATACTTTGAAAAAAGGGATCTTCTTTGATTGCTCCATTCCAGTGGTAAACCCGAGTGCACGGTGGAGTTTACCAAGCTGTGTAAAGTAATTATTTGATGCAGCTGCAGATTAATTTATCACAACTGTCATCAACAGTTGAAAACATGCAAAAGTTGAGAGATTAGTGGTCATTTGATTAAAGATGCACTTCTCATGAAAATGAAAGCCATTAACAAGGATTGGATCTAAAGAGGATTCCATGGCAACACTATTTGGGACAAGCACAGAAAATGCTGGAGCAATCCAACGAGTCTGGCAGTACAGGTAGTTCTCCTATAACATGATGGTTACGCAAGAACGCAACTTCGCACTATAGAAAATGTCCATAGAAAATCACATTATAGGTAAGTCGCTACAGAAAATTGCTATACCTGTACAGCAGAGTTCACATTATCCAAAGAGCGTCCACTATTCATCAAATGGTGTTACAGGCCATTCGCGTTAATAAAACACGTGTTATAGCAGAACCCCCTGTACTTATGAAGAGAACTAACATTCATGCTGGTATGACAGCAAAGAGTTATTGTTTCTCTCTCCACAGATGAAGCCAGCAGATTTCCAGCACCTGCAGGATTTTGCCTTTAATTGTTTGAGCACTCAGTGTCACCGAAGTCAAATTCAACTGCCCAAGTTACTAAGTTCATGGATTTGATGATCACAATTTCAGATAATGGGTGGCATACATAGATTGCCATGATGTTCTGCCATAGTACAAATATGCCACAGTGCTTCTTTGAATAGTAGGTTGATAAATGAGCTAGCAATGTCCAAACAGCACATTGACATGCTACCACTCTCGATTTGTAGGCTCTGTATGATCTTCACGAATGTGAAGGAATACTTTACAGTGAACTTGAAAAGCTCATTTGAACTTGCTGTGACAGCTCATGTAAACATTTGGCCAATTCACATTGGGCATAGCTTGTCAGATAGAGTAGGATGTAAAGTGACTTTGCATTTGAGTGTCCTGGGCAGCCCACACCATATGGACGCAGTGAGCCATAAGGATGAATTCTATTATCAAGCAAATTACCACCATTTCCGAAACTCAACAAACACCTCTGCAACTTGCCGAAACGTGGGCCTTGGGTCCTGTTTAGTGCCAGGTCTTGTAAATATAAATTTGGCACCATGATTGAGCACAGTGTTCATTTTATTGAAGTAATCCTGTCTTTTGAGTATGTGGTACTTGCTCTACCAAGCACCTTGGTACTCAGTTCAGGTCCTGCCAGGATCACTCAGCTCCTGACATCATTAGACTGGTTCCAAATATGGAGGAAAAAGCTGAACTCAAGGTGAGGCGAGTTGACATTTTGTCCTTTAATATCTCTTGCTTCCCATATTACCACAGTCCTCACCTCTATCCTGTTCCCCCATCCCTGCATTACACAAAAGCTGTTGCATCTCTAACATTCCCAGTTCTGACAACATGTCATCACTTGGAAATGTTCACCAATTCCCTCCAGCCAGAATCCACAGAGTTTCCGAGTATTACCATCCAGTATTTTGTTTTTATTTCAGACTACCATCATTCACAATATTTTGTTCATAAAAACCGTATACAACATTCAAGAGTTTTTCGGTCTTCTTTTACCTACATAGCGACATTACGGTTCTACACAACATATCCCATGAATTGCAAATATGTTGAAATATTTTTAAATCTCCAAATTAATTTTTTGGAACCATTTTTTCCAATCAACTTTTTGCACTCAACAAAAATGAGAGAGATCCAGATTTTAAACTCTGACTTGAAAGATCTTATGCTAAACATACACACAATTAAAAACAATGACCAGATGAGTTAACGTATCTTCTCCAAATACTCACTATGATGCAGTTACATACTACTGCACAAACAGGCCAGCTTACCATAAATGATCAACTTCAGTGATAGTAAGAACTGCAGATGCTGGAGAATCTGAGATAACAAGGTGTAGAGCTGGTTGAACACAGCAGGCCAAGCAGCATCAGAGGAGCAGGAAGGCTGACGTTTCGGGCCTAGACCCTTCTTCAGAAATTTCTGAAGAAG